CTATTGTTTCAGGCTGTAATTTACACTTTTTATAATTTACTTTTATTTTTGAGAATCTGAACTGGATCTTAGTCTTTGAAGACAATCAACAAGAGGTTCCCTGTTCCTGACCAATCGTTCATAAAACAATACAACCTTGAATAAAACTTCACTGAGAAAGAGGATTACAGCCTCCAGCAAGGTGTCTCAAAATCTCACTATTTGGTAAAGAACCAGATTCTGTCAGGAAGAACTAGGCATGTGCTGAGAAGACGGAATAGATAAGAAGACTTAATTAGAGGAGTGTTTAGTTCTTACATAACGATTGGGTGTAGGTAAGAGTTAGCTGTTGCCTAGAAGCTCACTCAGCCAAGTAAGGCAAGTGTTTGATTTAAGAGATTAAGAGAATCCAAGTCATATTTGGAGATGAACTACAGGCAAGACCCATTCCAAGTTTGAGAACCAGCTTTTGCATGGCTGTTCCTTATTGCTACACAATCTTTCCATGACTCTGTCAAAGGCAATCTTTTTATTGGTCTGCATTTATTTTTTTCTGGGGAAAAACAAAAATCGACTGAATTATACCATGAATAAGTCATGTTTCTGAAAGGAAAAAAGATCCCAAATAGATATTTCTAACTTACCTCTCCGATTAACAGGATCCTTAGCTACATATGCAACATAGTCAGTTGTATCCTGTCAAAAAATTAAGATATCTACAATGAATGCAAAAAATCTTTGCACTGATCATAAAAAAAGATCACAGTCCAGAGTGTGCATATTCCTGTGAGTAGAGTCTCAAATGACATGTTTTGCACCACAGTTACATACTACTTAAACCCCATAAAAACATTTATGGGTTTTGGTACTAATCCCACCACTTTGCTTTCTCCAGAGTGTGATCTATTCCAGCAGAACTTAGAAGTCTCTTCCTAGGCCCTTGAAAGTCAGTTAAACAAAATTACTAGGATTTGGATTAGGCCTCATTTAGAAGGGAGTAGAATTGCAAGTCCTCATCTTCAAACTACCCAGAGATTTTGGTTCAGAACACGAATAATCAACTGGTTCTGTGGCAAAAAGAGTGGGAGTAACAGCCCTGCTCCCCAGAAATACTGAGCAGTGGCATTAATTCATGTGTGACAAGCAGGCGTGTTGGCTTTATTGACTTCAACACCATATGGCACGGAGGTGCTCGGCCACTGCTTGGCTGTGGCAAGCAGTCTGCCAGGATGCTCTCTTCCAGCCATCCCCGTTGCCACACACCAGGTGGATTTTCTGGCAAGAGCAGGCTGACATCTTCTTTGGGGATTTTCGGCTTGCTCTCCTGCCACCCTCACACTCCCGTGCAGAAGCAGCACAGGCTTTTATCATTCTGCAGATGAAACAGAAAGGCCAGTGCTTCCAGGAAATGTGAGGCCTGCTGGCACATCTGGAAAACGCCATATATCCTGGATGCAACCTGGATGCAATCAGGAAGTCCTGGTTAGATCCGATATTTCCTGACATGCCTGGCTGGTCAGGTGTAGCTATACCTGTAACTGAGGTATATGTAGCTGGTTGCATAAATCTACCCAAAGCCTTTTCAGGGTGCTGATCCAAGACCAATGACTTTTATGTTGTTATGATGCAACAAACATCAATCTTCAGTTAGATTCAGATACACTTCTTTAGCTTAGCTTTCTCTAGTGCAAGAACACACCACCACCACCCACCCAAAACGAATCACTGTGTGTATAAACAACTTCCTTCCTAAGAAGAGAGCAAGGGAAAAGATGAAGCACATTCACGGTTCTGGTGACAGAAGTGTAGCCACATCACTTAATGCACTATTGGAGGGCACTCAGACACAGCAGTAATGAGGTTGGCCTGTAAAAAAAGCAGAGCAGAGGATAGCTCTAGCATTTTGTCCTGTAATTTCTTAAGCACCCAGTGACATAGTGTCTGGGCAATGACCTGAGTGGAAGTAACGATGCATATCAACAAGTAAGTGAACGAGAAAAGTGGCTATGTCTAAAGCAGCAAATAAAACAGAGCCAAGGGAAAGGCCTGAGAGCTGTCCCACAGTTGTGCATGCTGTTTAATAATGGCTATTCTCCCTTGCCTGGCTGTGCTGGTTTCCCTCGCCATGCTCTGAAACTCTCCAAGGGACCAGCACGTGCTGGGCATCGATCCGGGAGACCACTGGAAGGGACGTGAGTGAATGTACGGATGCAAATTGCACTGTGCTATTTAGTGTTAGGGTCAGAAAACAGTCCACAGATCATTTTATTTACTGGAACAAACATAGATAATGGATACATTTATTCCTGAGTAAATCATAGATCTATCTCATAGTTAGCCTGGGTGTGAGAGACTGGAACCACCTACTCTTTATTCCATCTAAAGCTCTCAGATTCAAGCTGATCATGACAAACCATTAAGGACCTCAGGCAGGCACATTTCATGGTGGCTGAATTAGAAGACTCCCATCAAAAGGCTACACAGGGCTGGGCTGATGCAGCAAAGTGGTCCCTGACATTCAAGGACTGAAGACAAGTGTGAATGAGCTATAATTTTCACCTTAAAGAAATTCCATTGCAGTGTCAAAATTTGGAGGCAGGGCTGAAACTGAAAAACTGCTGCCTTCAGGGACCTCTGAGAGACCTGCCTTATTAGACCTTACGAAATCCACCTCTCTAAAATTTCAGCAGGCATCTCCAAAAAACAGACGTCTTGTCTAGCAGCCTGGAAACAGCCACCTGAAATGACTATGGATGAAAAATATTTACTGTTTCATAAGGAAGGGCTGAAGAGAGCTAAAGCAAATCCAGAACACAGTCTTGGAAGTGAACTAAAAATGATTCTGAAATGGTGTGTACAAGGATTTGGTGGAGAGATTTTTAAGCTTCTATGTACTGACACAGCCAGAAACTGTCTGACTCATTGCAATGGGGAATATTGCAAAAATATATACGGTACTCAAGCTGTTCTCCAAAACTGTGGAACACTTCTCCAGTGGATATATTTTGAATGATGAAGGTAATTAATGCTTAGGGAGTAGGAGGAAAGTTGCAAAGCTAATTGCTGGAGCAAATGTATGGCAGATATCCAGAGCAGAAAAGTGGATGGGGTGAAAAGTGGGGGCAGCCTTGCTTCTAAATAAACCAAACTTCAAAATTCAAAGTAAGGGAAGTATTTTCTGAAGAAATATGGGCACAGATCTGGGTTCCTAGTTCAGTATGGCCTTTCTCCATCCATTTTCAATCATCTCATATAAGGGGATGAGCTTATGGGCTGGAGCCCAACTGTGTTTGGGGGATACGATTTGGTGGTGGCAGTCCTCCACCAAGTGGAAATCATTAAGGGCTGATGAAAGTTATGTCTGGATGACCCTCAGATAGGTTAATAAAGCTGTGACTTAAATTACATCTTTGCATCTTGTTGTCTTCTGTCTGCATGCAGGACAAAGGAACCACCTGCTTTATGAAAAAGCTTTTTAGTTAAAGTTGATACTAGCCTACTGAGACAAGCCTGTAGAGCACCATTAGATACTCATACCTACCCTCTCCACCCCCCAGAATGAGATCACCATGCAGTGGTCTTATTGGGAACACAACTTTACAATTTCACTGCCTCTTGTAGGCTCCCTCACACCATGCAATTTGATTTCTCTGGTAGCTCACTGACTCAGTAGCATGATTTTTTTCTCTCTATAACATTTGGAAGAGCTTGTTTACTCCAAATCCAATCTCTACTGCTTCTTCTCTCTTCTTTCCTGGTAATCACTCTATCAGTGGGCAGTGTGCAATGGTGTTTCCAGGACTTAGCATTTGGGATGGCAGATGGGGAGCAAAGAATCTTCTTACGGAGGCAGAAAACTGTGCTAATCACTCCTCTGCCCACTTCAGGAATTGTTCATTTACAGCATTCATTGCAATCTGTTGTATTTCAAAGCTGCTGTTGATCCATTTTTTGTTCCCCAAATTATTATGATATGGTGTCCTTTTCCCTTCTGGAACCAAACTGAAGTTTGCCCTTATGTTTCCTGAGAATAGTGAAGTGAACAGAGAAAAAGCCAAGGATCTTCAACTTAACCAAGTTGAACTGAGGATATTAACTCGCTAAGCAGGCTAGAAATTGCCTTACCTGTAGTACATGACTGATAAATGACAGATAATCGCATGATGGAGGAAGAGGCAGATTCATTCAATTAATCTAGGTTTAAAAGCTTTCAAACCTCTAAGGTAAGTGGTGAGCAATGTCTCTATTTTAGAACTCTCCCACTGCTTCCCAGGTGACAAATACTTTTTAAGCACATCTAATATGCCTTTGGATGGACTGCTTATAAAAACAGGGAAAAGCACAACAAGCAGGAGTCTGCCCTTTGATTTAAATGAACCAAGTATGTTGGTGTATCTGAAAGCTGTGCAAAACTAGTAAGAAAGATCTGGGCTTTTCCTGAAAGCCTGTCTTCACGCTGCATGAGTGTAGTGAATATACCTGAAGGCAGTATTTAGCACAGTCTTCTCAATGTACACTTAAAGACAAGAAGAAAAAAAATAAATGCATACATTGTTATAAATATAACTAACTGCAACATAGTCTATCACTGTAAAAAGTACAAAATAAAACAGAGTCAGGACAAAAATTCAAAAATATGACTATACTACATTACTGTAAAAAACAGAGCCCTGCTTATCAGTTGTTATATGAATGCTCATAGCCCTTTGATACTTTTTGTTTTAGCCATTCAAAGAGGAGGATTTATGACTGCTTGTCAGTCATTTCCCTCAAAAAGAGTTTGATGGCAACAATCAAGAAGAATTTATGAAACAAGAAACAGGAGCTATTGTGGTTATATTTTCCTTTCAGTAAACTATGCAATAAATTTTGTCACACAGTCCTCATAAAGCAATATCTATGTGGGGGGAAAGCTTTAAAGAAGTGCTTACCAGATCACCTCCAGACGCAAAGGAAATAGATTGCATATGGTGATTTGCTATGATCTGTATGGATCAGAAAGAATAAGTGTGAGTCAATAGGTTTTCTTACAGTTTACCCTTTTGGTTTCTTTTTTTTTGGTTCGTACAGGGGTGAAAATCCAAAACCAAGTTCAAAATGACCTCTGTGTTTCACCTGCAGGGAGTGCAAAGAGTAGTATCATAATATAAACAAACTTTAGGATGAATGTATCTATTCAGGTGTTCTTTAAAACCTAGCAGGATACAGCAAAATTGCTAAATGTGCTCAGAACTCTAGTAAATCAAATAGATTTGTCATACAGTATCTTTGGATAAATTTTAATCTGATAAAGCTCACTTTCATTATTACAGATAGTGAAGAATGGAGCAAAGGGTCGTATTCAACAAAACACTTTTCTGCTGATGCCACTCTGGTGAAATCAATGAAATCATGCCAATCTACATACCAGCTAAGGATCCCAACATTGTTTCCAATACCTACTGTGTAATTTTATGTTTAAAATACCAACATGTTTCTAATATGCAAACAGAATTTTGAATCTAGCTGCACTGTGGCATCATGGACAAAATCTCAAGCATATTCCAGGGCATTTGAAATTAAATTTGCTTATATACAATTTGAACTAATATGATATTTTTCTGGGAAGAGACAAATTGTCTTGAACCTCTAATACATAGAAAAAAGCTCTGCTCCATTGCTATTCTGAGGTTTAACTTATGAAATCTTTTAATAATGAAATCATGTAACAACCAAGAAAGAAAAGGTCATTTGAAAGAAAATTTCACTTGATCATTTGAGTCACAGAAACCATGCCAAGGAATTCACCTGGTATAGGACAGGCCCCTTATTCAGTGCCTCAGAGCATGTGATAATAGTCATTTGGATCTTAATTGCTCACTTTGGAGTGGGTACCACATAATTTAGAAAACTGTTTTGGAAAAAAAATGAGACTAAAAAGTGTCATGGTTTAACATGGCAGACAGCTAAAACAACCACACAGCCTTTCATGCATTCCCCCCCTCCCAGTGGAATGGGGGAGAAAATGGAAAAGGAGAGAGGAAAAAAACCAAAAAACAAATTCATGGGTTGAGACAAAGACCATTTAATAGGACAAAAAAAGGAAGATAATAATACAAAACAAGTGATGAACAGCACAATTTCTCACCACCTGAAGTCAATGCTCTGCAAGACCCCGAGCAGACCCACCTCCCAGCCCACCACCCAGTTACATACGGAGCATGACGCCATATAGTATGGAGTATTCCTTTGGCCAGTTTGTGTCAGCTGCCCTGGCTATGTCCCCTCCCAGCTTCTTGTACCCCCCCACCTTCTCGTTGGCAGGGCAGTGTGAGAAGCTGAAAAGTCCCTGACTGCTTGGCAACAACTAAAAACATCAGTGTGTTATCAGTATTATTCTCACCTAAATCCAAAACACAGCACTATACCAGCTGCTAGGAAGAAAATTAACTCTATCCCAGCCAAAACCAGGACGAAAAGATATTCTCTGGGCTGTTTTCCCATCCGGCACCTTAAAGGCCTGAACTAGCAATTATCTTCTTTGGAAAGAAAAAAGCCTGACATGAGTTTCTATGGCTCTTGGTGCTTCACCAAGTAAGAGAGACCCGACAACTATCTGTTGTGCTTCTTTCATGTAAAGAGTGCTTCATTTTCAATACTACTGTTTGTCACACAGCAGCCTCTGAAAATGTGGTTGATTTTTAAGCGTTCACTGGTGAGCCATTGTTCCTTTACTTGTCAGTGAGGATTTCCTTCTCTTTTTCGTAAAAGGAAGAAGCGATCCAAACAATAGAGGTGAACTAGTGAAGATTTGTTACACATTTAATATTGTCACTGTCTTGAATTGTGCAAATCACCCAATCTTTTAGTTCAGCATGATAAAAAAAAAAAAAAAGTATTTCAGATTGCCTCAAAACTTGTTTTTCCAAATTTTAAGAAAACTGCAAATCAAACCATCAGTTCAAGTCAGACAACTTTTTTTTTTTTTTTTTTTTATTTCACAACTCAACAGTTTAATTTATTTTGAGGCAGGGGTATTTCCCCCCTTGTATATTGAAACAAGGCATAGCATATTACCAAGGCCTTGCATTGCTTAAAATTAACCGATTCACTAATGTTAGCACATAGTTTAGAAACATTTCAGTCTACCCAACTCCACATTTTAAGCAAATAAACAAACCAAAATCAACTCATCCCTGCTTAACGTGTTCACAAGACTGTTGCGCAGGGATACATGCAATTGCTTTCCTGCTACCCCAAGGGGCAACAACACTGTCTTGTCTTTTCTTTCCTTCCAGCTCCTCTGGGGAAAAAGAGGCTGTTACAGAAGGGCACAGCCATCTTCCTGGGTTGGGTCTCAAAGAGCGAAGCTGCTGGGCCGTGCTTATTTTCAAATAAAATGCTTTGCACAAACAAGAAAGAAGGGAAACCACAGTCAGACTGGGGATCTCTGAGAAACCACATGCTTCCCAGGCCTGCAGCACCCAGACTTAGTATCTCAAAAAGAATGGTGCAAGAGAAAGATAAACAGTTTTGTCAACTCAGAGAAAAGGCAAAACATCTGGGGGACGATTCTTCCCTGAGATAAATTAGTTTAATGCCATTTCTACTCTGACGTCAGCTGAAGACAAGGCAACTTTCAGGGTTTGGCAGTTTTTTAGTAGATTTAATTAACATCAAGTTCCTATGCTTCTGACTAGGGGCAACCGTCATGAAAAGCACTGCTGTGTATATTCCATAACAAGGCTCCAAACTACTGCAACCAGCCATAATGCTGCTCCCACAGTCTCAGTGCTCACTGAAGAAGACAACGATGTTTTCTAAATGAGGATAAGGGTGAAGATAAATCAATGGAAGCATAATAATAAACAGCAAGCTTTTTAATAGACAATGTATGTATTCTTTCTTATTCTTTAATGCTGAGGCTCTTAAGGACAGCAGGAATTTTTCTTTTTTCCTCTCTAGCTGTATCTAGGCAGAAAGTTGCATGCCCTAACACAGTATGTGGCTCACAAATAGCAAATAGCACAGCAGTGACTACGCATGTCTGTCTGCTTTCTCTTCACATATATACCCTGAGCAAGGATTTTTCTCATCTCGTACATCATTCACAATCCACTGCAATGATTCTCCAAAGTCTGTCTGCACCTTCAGCACAATGAAGAAGAAGAAATGGGCTGCTTGAAAAAGAGCACCTCGTCTCTCTAAAAGACTGGCATTTCACCACGCTGCAAAATTCCTGAGACAGTATTTTTAGCAGTGCCTTAGGAATAGATTGCCCTTTAAGGCTCTAAATGTGAAGACCAACAACAAAATTGAGGATGTGCATCCTGTCCTTTAGTTACTTACTCCAAATTTACATCCCTTTTAATATCCTGAAAGTTTGTAATTGTACCCAACAAGAACTCCCACAAGCAGAAAATGCCATTTCATGTCATAGGTCTTTTAAGAGCAAAACTGAGCTACCTGAAACATGGTAAGAAGAAAATAATTCATCAAAGCTGTGTTGAATACTGGCATAAACTATGACTCCTACCATGCTTTATATTCTGTTTTCATTCATTTTATAGACATTACTGAGGAATAATAACTTTGAGCAACTGAGTATTTTGGCAGACAGTAAATAATTGTGCAGCAGGTGCAGTAGGCTGTTCATCAAAAGCCTCACAAATTAATATGGCAGTTACACTCACCTGTTTTGTATCCGGAGTCATTAGGTTTAAGCTGGTGGTGGAGATATTCAGCATTATGCTCATTCCTGCAAACTGAAGATTGCTCTTTCCCAAGATGCTAGAAAGAACTTTGCTTGGTTGCTGTGAAGGGGGAGGAGGGGGAGGGAAAAAGCACATTTTTGTTCTCTGTTTATTTGGGATGACCTTCATTGTATGCAGGGTTAGCTGTAATCTTAAAGGTTTCTAAAGAGTTGCTGACCTTTCAAAGATCATTTCATTGCAACAGCTGTTTTTCTATGGAGATAATTTCTCATTAATAATAATCATCATCATCATAATAGCAGCTAGGCAGGTATTCATCCACTCCTGACCCAACAAAATAGGGGTTTTGTGAGACAGCAAAGCCCCATCTTCACCAAGGGACCAAGTGAGTAGACTAAGATGAATGCCTTAAGTCAGTATCTTAAAATGGCATGTTCTCATTCTGTAAAAAGAGCTTCAACTCCTGAAAAGAAATCTGTTGTTTGCTCTGCATGTACTGACTGCTCTACCCCCTTCCCACATGGAAAGTGGGACTCCAGTGATACCGATGGGATGCTCACAAAAAGGGATATACAGTGTCATTATGCTTGTAGATTTCCGAGCTGTAGGTAGAAGCCCGGCCATAGGCTAAAACCTGTGTATGCTGGGGTACAACATGCAGCTAAAGATCGCTCCTAACTCACAGAATAAGTAGAAAACATGGGAATGTAATCAAGGGGATGTAACAATATTGATAACTTTTGTAGGCCTTTCACTAGATCTTAGGAGGTTTTTGTAGCTGTGTAAGCTACGCTGCCAAAGCAAAGTTGACAAACTTCTCACTCACCTTCAACAGCTCCAGGGACCCAGGCAGCTGCATGAGAGCAGCCTCATCCAGGTAACCACAGCCTGTACACAGCCAGGCTGCCCAGCAGTAACAGACCAAGTCCTTCCACTTGCTCTGCTTGCACTGGTGAATATTTATGCTGGTCATTAGGATATAAAAGCAAAGCTGTGACTGGAGGCAATGTTCTTCTGGCACTGCATCTGTGTTTGTCCTAAGCTGCCTTCAAGCTTAGAAAGTTTTGTCCCTGGCAGGATGGACACAATTGTGCTCCTTTACTCCTTAAAGCTTACATATGTTCAGGTTTACCTTCTTTTCCTGCTGTTTAATTGATTAAAAATAAGCTACCTACATACTACTCGTATGTAACACTTATGCTGTGCTATTTTAACTTTGTCATCTTACAGAGCTAGTATTTCAGTAACTTCTCTTTAAAACAAGCCTTTTTGAATATTTTTGTTTCTCTTCTTTCCTTAAACCCTCATGCCTAAGGATCACCTACCCACAGTGTGGATAAAGTGTGAAAACTTGGCTTCAAGAAGTACATGTTACCTTAACCAAACTCATAAGCCACTAGTGGTAAAAACATGATGAAGTACAGACTGGCAAAAGATAACTGTCTTTAACGTTTATCTGAAATTCTGTTGCTGGGAAAATTTTCTTCTCAGCCAGTAGACCTACTTTAAAAACACTATTTCTTTTCAATAACGAATAAGCAACATATTGCTTCTAAAACCAGCAATACAGCAAGGTGTTTCACCGGGCAGTTGGGACTCTGTTTAACCTACTTTTCCAATTATATTTTGTGCCATTTTGCTTTCCAAGGAAAAAGTTATTTTCCTCTTTATTTCAGGTTTAAAAACAAAAGCGAGGGAACTTATAAATACCAATGTGATAAATTTAGTGGCAGGAGGGGAGAATCACAACCTTGATTCTGGAGACAATTTCCAGTTAACCTGTGACATTTATCATATACATATGCCTTATTTTACCAGGGGAAGATTCTGCATTGCAAACAAGTGGCATTTCATCCCATCCCTTTCTGCTGGGATTCTGCCTAGATGGTGGAGCAGCTGGGGAAGCAGACAGACCTTTTCCTTCACCTGCCCATTCTCCTGTACCCAACAACACACACCTGGGCTGTAATTAATTGCTTTCTACGCTCCTTCCCTTAGAGCTAGCATTAAATCCCAGCTTTGCTAATAGACCCCTGGAAGAGCAGGCAGTGCAAGACTGCTGAGAGCCATCAACGTAGGAGCTGAGCCAAGGCTTCCTCCACTCCCTGCCTGCAGATCCGAACTCCTATCACACAAGAATCAAAGCATGGTAATAACCGTGTGACGCCAACGCGCACTGGGCCTGCTGTCAGTGCTGGCCACTGAGTATCGGCCATAGGTGTTTATGGAAAGAGCATAGGGAACAGAGGATCACCTGGTATGTTCTCTCCATTTCCAGAAATCAGTGCTTTCCAATCTCATTAATTGTCACCAGCAGAGCTATGCTTCAAGAACAGATCTAATCACTTTCAAACATTGGCCTTTGCCATAGCTTCCAGCACCTATTTCCACAATTTACTCATGCATTTTAGGAAAAGGCTCCCCTTTTTGTTTTAAGCCTTCCACCTGCAATCTACAGAAGAAAGAAAAGGAAAAGGAGGGGGTTTCTGCAGTAGGAACATAAAGGCAAGCCACAGTCTTTTTTTCTAGATGTACACATACTTCTAGATGCGTATAAAAGCAGATCCTGACCAAAGGGCAAGAGGCAACATACAGTGGGTGAAAACAGCCAGTACTTTAAATGATTAATGATCTGCAATTCTCAAAGCTGCTTTAAAGTCACCTGCCTGCTGTGCCTTGTCTCCTCTGTGTTGAACTAAGAAAATACAGTTAACTGCACTACAAGAAAAGAAAAATACCTTTCGTCTCTTGAAGGCTCCTTTGGCACCAGGCACGGCTTCACAAACACGAATGATTGCTTCCCTGAAGAGACAGAAAAAAGCTTTATGGCAAATGAATGTGTGGGTTTCTTCATTATACTTGAAATGCACTGGGAGAGAACAGCTTCAGACCGTACTTCTGTTCACATGTAAGGATAGTTAGTGGGTCAGTTAGCTCTCTTCTCAAGGCTAAAACAGGTGCCACGCAAATTTCAATTACTTCAGTGTGAAGCAGAAGGCAGTAGTCAATGTTAGTGTGAAGAAGAGTATCTTGACAACTACAAAAGATAAAAAATGTTTTCTCGCACTAATAAAAAGACCTTTTCTCACCGTAAATTAGAATATTTGTCTTACTACCTTCTTCTAAGTCACATCTTTGTACCTTATTAAGCCACAAGGAATCATAAGACATGTCTTTAATCAACATTGCTTCACACCTTTTTTTTTTTAAAACCTTTCGTGTAACGTAAGGGGTAGTAACTATCATTTTTCTCACTACTATACTACTCATTTTTCCAGTCATAGCAAACCCACCTGGCTTTAGATAATATCAGATCCCTAAAATATTCCTGGAAATATGCACATTGCATATAATACACATGATGTACATAATTTTAATTGATATTTGTTCAATAAAATGTAATTTATTTGTGACCGTATTTTTACATTGTAAGCAAAATTAATGTCATTAACATTTTGCTTCAGTTTTCTAATATGGCTTCATTCTTCCCATGGCACTCAACTAGAATGAAAGAAACACATGTTGAAAATGAATTTGAATTCATACTCTCTCACAGGAGAGTAACTGTACACTACAAAAACTCTTGAAATCATACTGCTACAAACAAATCTTACAGACCATTTCAGTATTTAAGAACTTGCTACCTGAATAGTCAATCTAGTCAGTATTTAAAATTTGCTCCGCTGCACGCAGAGACCTTCCTGTGATCATTAGCTACAAAGCTATAATAGACATATCCCATTGACGCTGTAAGACAGAAGGGTTGCACAGCTCTGCGTAAAGGTGACTCCAAACATTGTTTAACTGTTTTGAATATGGATTGAGACTAACAGCACACTGTATTTAGGCCTAAAAGTATGCAAATATCACGTATTTTATGGAAAAAGAAAAAAAAAGAAAAAAAAAAACCACAACAGAATGGGAGACAATGAACTACAAGCTAAAGAACAGTCAAAATAACCAAAACCTTGAAACATCACCTTGAAAAAAACATGAATTATTTTAATTTTATGCCATGTGCAGGATGATATTTCAGCTACACATTAGGTGAATGCACAGGATCAGCAATGAGTCAGGAGAGAAATGTCATATAAGTATCAGCATTCAACATATAATGGTTCAGCAAATGTCACAGATTTATCCAGTTCCAATAACTATATAATCACTATATAGTTATGCATGAAGTTCTTTTACCTAGGGCTAAATCCAAAGTTCAAATCACTTGAAGGAATCACATGAATTTATTACTTTTCAGGGGTGGGTGGTTGCAGCGGTAGAACAGGCCTTGCAACAGGTTTAAAGTCCTGTCATTCTGAAAAAGTGTGAGACTTACAGGAACAGATAGTCAAAAAAGCTTTCAGGCACACATTCCTTTCTTCGGGTCTAGAGGAGAGATTATTTGTTCCACAGCTTGTCTTTTACTTTTTTCTTTTCCCCAACTACATCTGGTCATGTAATAAAATTGCCTCTCGCTACAAAACCTGCCTTGCATATGCCCTCAGACCATCACAGCTACGAGCGCGCACCATTTAACAGCTCAGCCCTTGTATGTAGTTCCCACATTTACCACAATGCTTCATTGAGTCTAAAGAAGTGTTTTAGTTAAAGCAGTTACTAACTTTTCTTATAGAGCAAGTAAAAATTGGTTGGTTTAAAAAACAACCTGATGCATCTTAGAAACACAGCACAGCAAGCATCACATGCACTGATCATCATGATACTGAGACATAGGTTACTCCCGAAAATGTAACCAGGAAAAAGAAATATTCTTCTTCCCCACCAAAAATGCTCTTCTTGGACTCGGGAAAAGCAAACAGACGTTGTGTTATACAGAGCCATACCCTCAGCCTTGCTATTGAGCTAAACCCCGTGATTTCCCATCTCTTTCTTGCACTGAACCAAATCCTTTGCAGGCAATGGGGTGGGAAGTCCAGGCCTGTGGCAGTCCCCAGCCCACTGCTGTGTTTCAGACCCACGCCTCTTGCTTCCCCAGGTGTGCCTGCGCTTCCTGGGCATCTTGGCTGCAAGTCAAGTCACCACCAGCACTCCATCCTCTTTGCCTCCTCCAGTGGCCTGATCAGCGCATTGAGATCCCTCATAGGTTTTGCCTCTCACAAAAAGGATTTGTATTTCAGAGATACTAACTGTGCTTGAGGGATCAATTTGCCTGTAACTTCCTTTCTCTTCCTATTTGCCTCCACCATCTTCTCTCTCTAGCAACAACATGGAGTAGGTAGGAAGAAAAGCGAATTTTCAGGCCCCTGCACCCAACAAAAAACCACTTACAAGCTTTCCATTTTTCTATTTCAGGGCTGAGATTTGTAGTGGTTTTGCTACTGCCTTTTCTGCCTGCCAGCTCCCGACCATCAGACATAAAGCGTATTACTCAACAGACCCATCTGACTCAAGGACCTTGTTGATCGAAACTGCCACTTGACTGTAGGAGCGGAAATGCAACAGCTGAAAAGGCTCGAAGCCCAGGGATGGGGGCTGGCAAGGCAGCCCTGGTTACTGCTCCTACTCCCTGCCGCGGCGGCGTGGGGAAAGCGATGAGCAGCTGAAAAGCTGCGATGCACATCCTCTCGCTCAGAAACAAAGCGCTACAGGTTTTCCAGCTACCTGTCTTCTGGTAAAATAACTCGGTGTTCCCGAAGTCTGCAGGAAGACTGGAAGTGGGGGGAAGGACCTGAGAAAGGTGACAGCTTGTGAGATACATGTCAGATCAGGCAGGACGTCTGAACTTGAATTGGGCAATTATTTTAATTTTGGGGTTTGAAACTCTGTAAATACTAATGTACTTCAGCAACTGCAGGGTTTAAGTTAATAATGCTTCTGGTGAAAATGCTGGAAACTTCAGAAAAGATATTCATAGAACTATTCTGCCTAGGCAAGGTCAGAGTGGCCTGGCAGCAGTTCTTTTTTGTAGCTGCAACAAAAAGCACAGTACTTTACCCACCTGGGAGCCAAGGAGTCTTAAATAAGCATCTGACAAAAACAGGAGGAAAAAGGACAGCTGAGGATCTGCCACTGCACTGAAATGCACTTTTTCCAGGCAAAGGTTCCTGGATCTCTCTATTCTGAATATTCTAGAACATTGCGGGGCAGGCGGGGGGAGCTGTTTTTACACAGATAGCCTGGTGATATGAAAAAGACATCCTAAAGACTTCTTTCTTTAGGATGAAAGAAAGCTTGCATTGCAAGGCAGCACAAGGCAGACATCAGCTTTTTTTTGCAGCAAATCAAATTTGCAAACCGATCTTCAGCACGAACACCCAAGCCACCAAACAAGCCCAGAAATAAGTATCACTGCTAAGTTGAGAGTGCCGCTACCTGACTTCTGCATGCAAACGCTTGTCTAAGCAAGGCAAAACCAGAAGTTCTGGACGTACCTGCATGGCTGAACAGTTGCACAGAGTTTGGAAAAGCTGGGTGCTTCCTTTCCAATAAGAAAGTTATTCGACATAGATGCACGTTACACCTTTCTAAGCCACATGATGTTTCCTTAGCTAGGCTCAGATAAATACCAGTGTAGAGTTCTCTTGATCTCTTGTAAAATTAGCTACTGCGCTGTCTGCAGTAGGGACCACGTCCTGAGTTCCAAATCTGTCCAAGAGTATTTTCTGCTTTGCAGATGGTCATACCATCATCAGAAAGTCATTTTCTTGGCACAAAACATGTTGTGTATTTTGAATATAATTTCAGCACACAAATGTATCCAGTGAAAAATTACCAATATGTATTTTCCAAGTCTGACCTATTCTGCTTTAAAGTGACTTGACATCTCTCTAAGACAGAAAAAAAAAGACATTTTACATTGCCATTTTGTTCCATTAAAAAGGCTAATACCCTGACATTTTTCATAGTCTTAGTCATATTTTACTCCAACTGTTATATAAAGTAGCATATTCAGGAAGCTCAAATCTCTTCCTCTGTGAAACACCATCACATGAAAATACCCTTCCTTCTTGTGGTTTCAATGATTTTTTCTTTTGGCTCTGCTGCTAGGTTTTGTTGTTGCTGGTTTTAATTAATAAGATTCAATTGATTAAAAAACAGAATTCTAGAACTCATATTTCAGGGAAATGATAGGCACACACAAATTGCCCAGATTTTCCCAACATATTTGGAAAAAGTATAGCCATCTCAAATATTGAGATGAGAAACTGTAACTAGTTTTTAGTCTGAAATGTTTTGTATAACAGACATTATAAGACCTAAAACCTACCAATATTCTGTTGTTAATATCTTCCAATGTCCTAGAGTTCCCAAGCTTATCTTTGCCACCTCCAAAGCACAGAGCTTCACAGGTTAGAAAAACAGACATTGAAAGATGGACTTTTTAAATGAAAGCATGACATGTTGAGAAGAATTGTACAGAAGGCTCGCAGTTATTTCTTAACAGTATTATATTCCTGCCAATTTTTTTAATAATTTATAAATAATTACCAAGTGTTGTACCAGTATTTGCTGAGGAGAAATAAAATTCATACCAAACATAAAAATAACTTGCTTCTGAAAAAAGAAAAAAAATGGAGACCAAAAATACCTTTTTACAAATCCATTTAATAATTGAAATATTATTTGTTCATTTGCAAAACAGGCAAAATGAGTGAGTGCTGTCTGAAGTAGCACAGGGGACATTCACAAGCTCTGAAGGCTAAACCAGTATATTACTGTTTACAGAACTTTAAATGCCAACTGGCAAATTGACCACGTCTGGAAGAAGTAAGGCTACAGAAGTAGCAAAGGAAAACAGAACAGAGTGTGTGGATAGGAAGGGGAGGCTAACTCCGTGGCGTGGA